AGGGCCTGCCGTTGCAATTTACTATGAAAAATGGATCGATCATATGGATGTCGATCACTCAAATTTCATAGTAAAAAATTTACCCCTGTGATCTGCGTGACAAATCGTGTGACTGTTAAATAAGTACTTAAATTTAATATTATTAAAGTACTTTAAATTTTAAATTATATTAAATTTTATATTTATAATATATTTAATTTTTAAATATTTTTTAAGTACTTTAAATAAGTACTTATAACATCCCAATATACCTGAGGCCCAATAAGTATTCACTAAGTATTTATTAAAGCTTTGACAAACTTTGTGATGATATCCACCAATTTGATTTTTAGGGGGTTTTTCTGATAAACTGTTACATGAACTTTTACTGTTAAGTGACGTGAAAAATACAAGCGAAACATTAACAAACTCTTTTTTTTATTTTTTATTTATTTTTTAAACGTCTAAACGTGAAAGCACTGTCTTATTTGTTGAAAGTGCAAAGGTATTCTCAGGTAATAAAGGATCGGGTTGTCATTGAACGATCGATTAAATAATGGGTAAGGTGAATTCGGAAGCAAATTTTCAGGACAACTACCCTTGTAACTTCAACAATGAACAAATATGACTTTAAAAGACGTTTTTGTAAGAACTCACTTTGTAATAAATTTTAACAAACAAATAATTCTTAATCATAATCGACTAATTCTAGGGTCAACCCAAATCGTTCGATATGTTCATTGTATGTAATCATTGAAAATAAAAATGAAATATTTGTAGTTAAAAGGATTAGTAACATCTAGGGCAATTAAGAATTCAATGCTGCTCATATGATTTTTTTATGCATACTGCACAGCCCGTGCAGGAATATTAAAATTCACGTGTACGCATAGTACATACTGGCACAGAACTTTATTATCATACGTAAATATATACTTATAATAAGAATAATTCTATTAACCATAGCTGCTGCAACAAATTGTCACGGCAGATTCTCGATTTTGATTGGCTAATGGCCGTGATCTGCTAAATTTTTGGCTCGCATTATAAATTTTTCCCCTAATTTTCGGCCGGAATTAACTTTTGGATTTTTTTCATAACAGAAATAGAACTTTTTGAATAAAGCCCGTATTATGATACAATTGGGTCAGGAACAATTTTTCACTTAATAGGCGGTTATTATTTCATTATTAAAATTCCGAGTAACTCCGGCCTAATTTTTTGAACATTCTCTTAATCAAAATCAAAAATCTGCCGTGACAATTTTGTTGCAGCAGCTAGGGTTATTAATAATTCTTCGACTACGCTTATTAAAGTAAATATGTCAAAGTAAAGTGTATTATTAGTCAATTAATTATACATAAAATAGGGTCACTTATCAAAAAAGATTCAAAATTAGATAAAAAGAATAATGATAAATCATTCATATTATAGATATAACAGTTATTAATATACTTTATCACTAAAACGATCCATATATGTAAATTCATTGTTTTTCCTGCATGCGGCTTAAGTAGTTTTAGTGTTGGAATTATGTTTAAGTGGCTTTTTACGTATGTGATCATGCTGTGCGACTATATTTTTATGCAATAAACCTGAGTGATTTCAAATTTACTTATTTGTACGTACGTACGAAAGACTATAGTTAACCAAAATTATCATACGCACATATATATAAAATTTCACCATCGGAGTTAATATTGCGCCGCGTAATGTAGTGTATGAATTAATTTTATGACTTTCCTTTTTGGTATATAATTGAGCATCCAATTAAATTAGTATTGCAAAGGATGACATGTGCCCCTGATGTGATATAGTAGGTTCCCTTTCATATTAATTGTTAATGTACAAAATTTGAAGCATCTATTTCAGTAAAACAAACATTCTTTATAGGACCATCCATTGCAATAGCAATGACATTAATTTCAGATTAAAAATTTCTTGTTACAGAATTTTTCATTGTATGGCGTACTTTAACAAAGTGAATCAAAAAAGTAAGTTATCAATGATGCACCATATTATGTTCACTGCGCTTTTAAGATCAGCAGTTTTACATCTTTGGATCAATTTATTAACCAATCAAAACGAAGAGAAAAGATCCACATGAATCAGTTCTATAAAAATCTTGTAGCTTGCAGTAAATGAATGAAATAAATACGCTAAATAGTACTGTAAATGAAAATATGTCACGATATGACTAAGATTTAATGCGTTAATTTGTGTGTTCAATTATTACTAGTTGACAAATGATAAACTTTTTCCTTAAACATAAAATTTCGAATGGTACAATGGATTGAGTAAGAAGATTTCCCAATAGGCATCAAATATAACAATATAACCCCGATTATTACCATGTGTGAGAGATCACTTGCATCAATAGGTAGATTTATCTCGATTATGACAGTAATGATGAATAGGAGAATGAAATAGAATTTTATTAATAACGGAATGAATATTAACAAAATAAAAAATCTGTAATGAATCCTGCTAACTAAATGTGACTGATAAATGCATTATAGTAATATAAAACGTTTGATGTGAATAAACGAAAATTTTGCCAATCTTAATCAGGGTTGATAATTTCATATTCCATTGGAAAATTTTGCCTGTTCCAGTCCATTGCTCCTTGTTCCATCGAAGTTTTTATAAATAAATATTTAGTAATTTAATCTAATACTTTATTTATTAATAATTATAACTGATAAATTATTTAAATAAAAAAAAGAGAGAATTTTATATGTATACAAAAAATGCGACATTACTATATTTACGATAACAGTTCAACGTTTGCCAATACATGTATTTGAAATAAATCACGATTGTTATAAATGTTTATAATAAATGAAAAACCACTATAAACGTATTGCGTGGTCTAATAAACCAGATATTGCCAATAAGATGCTTTGAATTCGAATAAATAAAGGTTGTTTTAAAAAGAAAATGGAAATACGAAAAATCATCATAAACGTATTATGTAATTTAACGAATAGGAATTTGTCAAATTGGTATCATTAATGTGATTTCGATTAAATAACATTTGTATAATCCTATGAAAGAGAAAAATAATGTACGTGAATTAGAAATAGTTGCGGAGAAATGTACTGGATGTAATAAACAAAACCATATTTTATGGTTTAACGTGTCAGATTTTGCAAAATTAAATATTTGATTTCGATCAAATATCATTGTTTAATTCTATTAACGAGAAAGTGATATATGTAAATCAGAAATACTGTAATCGCGAAGTAAATATTTTTATTCCTGACGACGAACGATTCTAGTTGGTTGACGTCTAAGAACCGGATTAAGTTCAAAGTACCTGAGAATTTGAAAAAAAATAAGTTATAAAAAAGAATTATCAAGAAGTATTATTTACAAATATTTACTTATTATGGCACTCTTTTGGAGTTCTTCCATGTAACTTTGATATCAATCGCCAATCACGGCCATGTATTTGACAGAGCATTAACAAATGAGAAGTTTCAGTATTGCTCCAAGGACGCATTTCTTTTACTTTTTTTCGATATAGCGTCAGAATTAAACCTTTAAAACTGTAAGCCACTCTCGTTATGGTGTATCTCTATATAAGTAAAGTGAAGAACAGCTTATAGGCATGATATAGTGAAGAGATTTCACATTTGAATCGCCTCATTATAGCGAGAGTGACTTGTATTTATTATAGAATATGTACATTTGTAAGAAATTATCATTGGTCCATTATATTTTTATTTGCTATGATATTCTCTTTAGATAAATAATCGAAGCGACCACAAGCTTTTGCATACGTTTAATTACATTAGTTAATATACATGTACGGTATAGCTTGAACTTTTTATTGCCTCATTTGATTAAATGATTAATGATTGGTGTTAAATTCACCATTATCACGTCATATTACCTACAGTAACAATCATATAAAATAATCGGCAAAGGAATAATACGTAAATTGAGAAATAGGTGTGTAATGACTTGTAACTAGAATGCAAGGGTTTTAATATACAAGAAAAAAATTTTTTCACAAAATATTTCAATAACCACATGGCAGCAATTTTCTGCCAGAAAAGATTGTTAATGTTTGACAATGCATTAAGGAATAAATGATAATTAAGCGTGGGATAATTATAATATATAATTGATTTTAATAAAGTATTTTACTTGAAAATATTTTTCAGTAATCAACAAATAGATTTAAAGTATCTAAATATAATTAAAGTATCTAAATATAATTAAGAGTCACATTTATTCCACATGGTTTTAAAATACTATATGAAGCCACCTTATTTCACAGACAACTCATTTAGCCCACACCACGCAACTAATCAAATGCTAACCCCAACCTTATTATGAGCTTTCGGTGAAACGACTGTCGGTGAAATGAGCAGCGCGTACGTATACTTGTATAATTGTTAAGCTAAATATAGCATCACAATAAGACCAAAATAGGTACTCTATAAATAATAAGAAAAGACCAAATATAAAACCGGGTTTGTTTATATTGTAAAAAATACAAAGAATTTTATACATGAATGAATGTTCTAATGAGAACAGAAAAATATAACTTGTACACTAGCGTCGAAAGGTGCACTACTTAGCATCTTTTAAATTGTTTCGAAACACTAATATTATATTGATTTTCTAAATGTTTTTCAATTATCTTATATGAAATAAATTTTTTTGCAGCTTAATAAACGTTAGATGATGTATGTATCCCTGGCATAAGTACATATAGATGTACTGTATGAATGCATGAATGTAAAAAAAACAAAACTCCACAGAACACCAATCACGTGTAACAGTCGATCAAAACAAACATATGCAGTAATGCGGCACAAAATATGCAACCACTTATAATTAAGAACCTGATTTAATGGTACTGTACGTGACTAAATTTTTTTTAGTGGGCTGCTTAATTTTGATTGAGAACCTAATTTCTCTTTTGTATTCAAGATCTAAACCAATAAAATATAACTGCAATTCAATTATAACTCATATACAGTTATTATTCGCTAGCATATACACATGATACAACACCATGTAAAGCACGAGGCATAACAATGATTGGTTTGTCCGAAATTTATTACAATAAAGAGCAATATAATGAATAAATATGAACAGTTACATAAATGTGTTAATCAAGTTTTCTTTGAAATAAAGTTAAACTTACAATAAGAAAATCTTTAACGAACTTCACTCAATAGTCTCATTGATAACAATTACTGTATTACGCGTAGATTATGCTCATCAGGGATATGCAGGGAAATAAATTCATAATATCTAAATCATGGTATCTGTGCAAATTGAAGTTGTATAAGATTAAATTAACTTTAATTACAATTAGAAGGATTGCAAATATCATTTACGTTGGTCTATCAAAATGTATATTTGTTACAGTAACTTAATAATCTTCCATTATTATACAGAGATGCGGAAGTTTCAGATTTCTCCCCTTTCTTTTTATAGAAGTTTCATTGGGGTAATTGTATCCTTTTTTCATTGTTTTAATTAAGCACATGGAAGAACATGCGAGTAACTCACCAAAAGAATTCGATTTCATTGTTTATATTTTATATTTTCCATTTGCAATTTTGTTGGTTACGTTAACGCATTCACAGCATACTTTAGTTTCTTGAATACAATATTATAACGTCTTAAATTTTCATTTCTAAAAAAAGATTCTGTATGTAATAACACACAAAAAAATCTTGCCTTATTTTACCGTATGCAAGTCATTTCCATTAACCATTCGTGTGTTCGAGTAATATTTCATTCATGCTTAGATATAAAGAATTCGCCTTACTTTAGCAACAATCGTTTCACCAACAGCTCATTTAGTCAATATCATACTAAATGATAATTTACTAGAAATATACACCTGTTATTAATCTTAACCAAGTGATATCGGCTAAATGAATTTTCGGTGAAATGACTCATGTGCGTCAAAATGAGTCTAGATTTTTCAATTATTAGTACAACTATCGGTAAATTATATCAAGCAAACACAAGAACTTGCCATTTACTTTTATAAAAAGGACCTCCTTAAATGTACGTTCGTACGTTCATACGTACGTATTTTTTATGGAAATTTGAATAGGCTCTTATTTTTATCATCACGTTTACGTACTAATATCACAAAACGACGAAATTAGTAAATTTACGCCTAATCATTTATATATTGCTGTATTAATACCCTCCGATGCAATGTCATTGTATCATTACCATAAATAGAATGTTAGCCGATGCAATTATGTCACGTGAATAAAATAACGAATGTTTGCTACTTTGAATGAACAACTAAATCCAAATAGAAGAAAATTTAAGTCAGGTATTATTTTGGTCTGTGAAGAACTATTTGTCATTAATCTCTGAAATAATATCTGTTTTCGCAGAATAAATGAGACTAATTTTAATATCAATAAAGATTTAATATTATCGAAAAAATGTATTTTATGAACTATTAATAATTAATGTACAGTACTATAATTTTCTTAAGTTATTGAAATTTATTTCATCAAGAAAACTTTCAAAAACTGTCAAAGGTTTGAAATTTGCTTACATAAGCTTTTATAGATTTACTATACATAATGCTGTGCAAGAAAGTTAATACAAACCTTTTTCTGATAACTAAGTCAATGTGATTTTAACTTTATTTATTAAAAACAGAATTTGAACAAATTTATCGATAAATCAGTTTATTGTTCTATAAGGGATGACAATCGGTGTTTAAATTAAATTTGGTCATCAAGGAATAGATTGAATTTTACTGTATATAGGTATTTTCTGTAAATTATAAAAAGCAATTTTTTGAACCTACTGACGATCTTACTTCACTATCAATATATTTTAATTATAGTCTAGTTATTAATACAACAACAATGTTATTTTCGAATTTCGGAATGTTTCGGATTTCGTAGATTTTGGATTTTGAAAGAGCTTAGGCCAAAATGCTACCTTCTCCAATTCGCTACGTTCATTGAATTTCATCCTTTTTTCTCTTTGTTAATAATGATGACATCAACATATTCAGCTAAGATAGTAGTTCAATTTAGTGCGGTTCTATTGATTTCATGTAATATATATTTTTTAATTTATTAGAAATCAATATATAAATAACTTTGTTCTTATTATGCATTAATGTACATCAAATTATTCATAAAAGCTAAGATTGGCAAAATCTCTTCCATGATTTTCGAAAATATTCAAAATATACCTGGGGTATAGCCTATTATCCTGTTTCTTAATTTTATTTAGTTTAGAGTTAAGGTTAGCTAGCACGTGATGATTATTTTAAACTTAAATTTAAATTTATTTATTTTTAGGTATAGGTTAAGACCCTGGCACTTGGATAATGTGTTTACCAGTAGATCTCCTGAACTACGAATCAGATTTCAAATTAGGTGTAACGTTACACGACCAGGACGATTCAAAACAATCGTTCGTTCTGTCAAAAATCGCTCATAGCTCAAAAATTAGCATAAGAAACTACCTTTGGTGTTCTAGCAAAAAGTTTTTCGTTGGACAATTTTACTATATAAATATCCAATTCTTAACCCTGAACCAAATCCTAATCTTAACGAATTTTAAGAACTTTGTCTGCGCCACCAACCTGGCGCTTTTTAAAAATCGCCAGTAACTCGAATCTTGCCTATTGAAATCATATTCTGCGTTATAACAAAAATTTTCTTACAGAACTTTAGCATGCGTTATTCTCTAACTTAAAACTTGATTTTAATTTAAGATTCCATTTTTCACTTAGACTGTTTGCAGATCGTAAAAGGTCTGTGAAACATAAAAACATTGAAGCATTAGGTATCTAGCATGCTTATGCATTATTCATTGTTTTAATTTTTTTAACGTTAAACAAATTACGATAAGAATAAATTATCATGTGATAATTTGTTAAGTGATCCTAAATCAGCATAATAGTCAATCAAATGGCTACGTAAAAATTACTTCATTCACAACTTGATGAATGATTAACATAAGAAAATCCGTAACTCCATATTTTTAAAAAATACTTGAATATGCGCAACCAAATTTTCTGATACGCACTGCATAATACAAAGATAGATTTTAAAACTTGTTTTAGTAAAGAAAAAAAAATGCTTTTTTTTTTTTCTTTTTTTTTTTTTTTTTGCAATTCTTTTCGTTATCTCTGCTGCAATGAAAATTTAGAAACCAATGAAATTTTATTTACCATATTAAAAGTTACAGTTTTGGGCTCATACTCCTGATTTTCTAATAAAGTACACAACTTGCAATTATTGGTACCAATACAAAATCAAATATTTACGAAAGCAAATTCCGTCAATCAAAAAACAAGTAGTACAGCTGTATGAATATGTAATTTTTTTTATTGTAATTTAGCCAACGAATTTAAAACAAACTGTTAAAGATTTATTTGTATGCTGTTAGTTGATTTCCTTAAATACTGTACAAGTATCGTTCAAAAAATCATATTGTAACCATGCTTATTAAACACCAATCATCACGTACTAATCTTACCCTGCAGTATCAAAAAAATAAAATAAAATTCTCACACAGTCTTTGCATAGAAAGATTTACTTTTTTCCGTATCTATATATGGTATCTCATTTAGAATTGAGAACTATTCAGAAGTATTCTGAAAAAGAAATTATGTATTGTCTTTTATATTATTATTTTATAAACAGATTCACATATATATTTTAAATGAATATATTGCAATTGTGTACAGATATCGATTTTTATTCACTTTTTATTGTAGTTAGTCTAAAGTACGGTTGTAAAGTCTATGCTGTCACACATTAACCAATGTCTAAATATTTAATCGGAATATGTGATGTGTCTTTGACATTAGAGCGGAAAATTTAATGATAGTGACACATTTTTACTATACCGTGTTGCTGAACAAAAAGGAAACTTTATTAGATTTTAATCAACGATAAATCTGAGATTTTATAGACATTAAAGACAAAGACTAAAAAGTAACATCACAAAGTTCTTTGTCTCTATATAATGTTTTCCATGTTATACGTCATGCTCAGTGTACCATAAATATGTTTATTTTCGATCGAAATAATAAAAACTAAAGTGTTCTTATCAAAAAAAAATTAAGCTTATTACATAATAGTTGTTTTCTTAACAAATAAAATTAAAATTACAAATAAATTAATAAAGTTCAAACAAAATCGATAATAATTTTAATACTAGTTAGATAAAAAATTCGAAAAGCCGCCGATATATATCGAAATTAAACGAAAAAGAAGGAAGGAATACGAGAATAAAGAAAACGAAAACGAATAAATGACGAGGAGAAACGACCTACAAGTAAAAAGATAAAAAAAAAAAAAAACCTTTAGAAGCGATTTGGAGAATAGACGCCAGCGTCAATTCGACTTAATAAGTAATATTTCATTTTTTTATCGGTATTAATCTACAAAAGAAGTTCCACAAAATAATACTTCTGTCAAAGATAGGGTTTGTTGCGGAGCTCTCGTGTTCTGAGTCGTAGCAAATGGATTTATGCCGTCGATCATATTCTCGACGAACTCGGCATTTTGAACATTTTGTTGTTCTCCACCATTAGCGTTAGCTTGATCCATTTTTTTGTTAGATGGAAAAATCAAAAGTTACTCTTGTTATAGTGAAGAACAGTTTATATCAGTGTTGTTAATTTTTGCTTCCAGTAGAAATTTGTAATAGTAAAAGTTTCAGTAGTACTATTAATTTTCTTCTTGTGGAGTTCCAGTAGCTTCCAGTTAACAACACAAAACTCTATCAATATAGAGTGTTTACTTGTAGGCTTTCAAGACAGTGAAATCGAGGACAGTGGAATCACTAATGAGAGTAGATCTATAATGCCCTGCTTTTATAATAATAGCTTCAAGTAAACTTTTATGCTATTTTGAAGTACAAACTGCAAATTCTTGATTGTAGCGCATTATTTACTATATCACTAGAGATAGCATTAATACATGTAAACAATAAAATATCTTGTTACATCTTCGTTCTTACAGTATTATTATGTGTCACTGAGTTAGTTGATGTTTACGTCATGTGCATAATAACTAAATGTTTAAAACTCGTCAAATTAAATTCATTAGATTTCGAGATATGCAGTTATAAATAGAGTAAATAGGGTGTATGAGTTTATCATGACATGTAAACCTTGTATACACATGGCAAAAGGTTTAAATTCTATTAGTTTTGTAATACTACTATATCTTGTTGTTTGAAAACTTACAGTAAAAAAAGTATAAATAGCATATACTTTATTTCCCTTTTAAAGAAAACTCATTTAAAATTTTTTTTTTTTTAGTATAAAGTATAAATTCGGATTTAAGTGATATCTGCATATCGCATCCATTTAATATATAGTAACATTCAATTACTGTAGGCCATAATTCTGTCCTATTTGTGCTAATTACAGTACGACAATATTAAAGATGCTTTCGCCCGGATAGACTGATAAAATTGTACAACTTGGTAATAAGACTAGTCTAGAACTGATTATTTTGATAAGGATGCGCCAGTTTCACTCTAGTCTGATCCGATCTTAGAATCAATGCTAAAATTACTGGCCATTAAAAATGATTTAACATCATGATTAGGCAAAACTGATAATATTCGGGTCATAAATTTGTTATGCAGACGATTCATTTTATGCAGTTGACTGAAAAACTTTCGTAAAGTTTAATTTAAAAGATTCAATTATACACTTGTGTTCCAAAAAAAGAAATAACTATTTCATTAATTTTGGTATTTGTAATATTAGAATTCCGATAATATTTATTAACTTTAGTACGAGAGGAAAATGATATTGTACAGTTTAGGCTGATCATGACCATTGTATTGCTTTCATTACGTATAGCCCATGTTCTAGATTTCTTAACATGATTATGTTTGTATACAAATGCATGCAAAATAAATAATGACAACAATTTTGTTCTTCGTAGTGTGAAGACTTCTAGCGGTCAAAATACTTTAATTACTGACTTTTACCTAAATACGCTTTTAGGTCTACGTGTTATCAGATTCTCTGCACTACTTCGATCATTATAATAGAACTTAAAATTAATTATGAGCATCAATGACTTCGCTGATCCTGTCGATAAGTCATTTTCGTGGCTCGGTTGCACATGACTTTATTCGTCAACAATCAGCCGCCCAAAAAAAAACAATTTTTTTAATATAAATAATATAATTAATAACTATATAATTAATAACTATGAATAATAATATAAATAATAACAAAAATAAGTTTATAAAATTTAAATACCAGTCAACTATGCAAAAATAATAAATATATTGTAATAATACAAAATGTGCAATATTATTTGCTTGTTAATTAATTAAAATATATTAATATATATTTAATTAAAATATATGTTTAAAATTAAATTTTATTAAATAAATTTCACAAATTCATAAATTAACAATTGAAAAATCACACTCTCTGCATATATAATACAAAATATAAAATTAAGAGTATTTAGCATGCTCAAACATTTATAATTAAGGACATGATTTAGTATTAACGAATATAGTAAATTTACGTATATACTGTTTAATTTGAATGAGTACCTAATCTCGCTTTTTTGTGCAGGCTGTAAGCCTATTGAAATATGACTGCAATTATAACTTTTGCACGTTATCATTTGGTTAGGTCAATTTGATACATAATTTAACATAGCATAGAATAATTTATAAGGGGGCATTGAAAAAAACAAACTACCGAAAAAATACTATAATTCTATTGGCTATAAATAATATAAAATTATATAATACATAATGACTATGTTACGATTCGACTGGTTAATAATATTGTGTGTATTGAAAATAGAAAAATAAAGGTTGAGAATGCGAAACGAAGAATTAAATTGATCTGACCCCGTTAGCATATAATACAGCATGTAAAGCACGGGGCATAAAAATTGATAGAATTTAACAATGTTTATTACCAATATAATATGAAATAGTTACACAAATATGTGTTATTCAACATAAATTTAGATTAATATGTGAAAATTCTTAATGAAATTTTTTTTAATAGTTCATTGATACGTAACAATTATTGCACGTAGATTAATGCTCGTCAGGGGCATGCGCAATAGAAGTTATATGATATTAAAATATTAGCTTTAATTGTAATTGGGAGGGTAGCAAAAATAATTTATTATTGGTCTACCAAAATTTATATTTAGACAGTGATTAAAAAATCCTTTATTACTGTATTATATTATGATTAAGTAGAATGCCATAATAAAGATCGTAATAAATATTACGTACAAATAAGAATGTTACGTATACGATAAGGAAATTCTAAGTACATAATTGTCGAAGCAATTTCTATAGAGATGAAACAGTTTCAGATTTTCTTAATGTAGCTTTTCTTTTTATGGAATTTCATTGAGGATACGTATTGTTCTTTTCTCGTTGTTTCTTTATTACCAATAAAATAAAAATAAAATTTATCCTTAATTAGAATACGAAAAGAATGTGTGAGTAATACACCGATTTCAAATTCTTTATTTACTAAAGCTTGTAATTTTGTTGGTTATAATTAACGCATTCACAACATATTTTAGTTTCTGAAAAAAGATTCTGCATGACAATAACACACTTACAAAAAAAAAAGTCTTATTTACCACAGCAAGTTAGCCAAATTAAACCGAAATACCATTCACGTGTGTTCGCGATAAAGAATTTTTGTAGTTACATGCGTGTAATTCCGATTCATACGCCAACATAAATCTATTGGTATTTAATATCAAATACAGCAAATTCAAGATTTTGGCCGATATCAATTTTTATTCAAAATAAAAACATTTTTAGTAAATTGCATAGGAACAGTTTCTATTTTCCTTTCATCCCCTGTACGTGCTATTGTTTAGGCAAGTTGTATAGTGTTTTTTTTTTTGTCATTATTACATCATATAAAGATAAAATGGCGCCAGATCATTTACAAATTTATACTCTCTCGGAAATATCGCTAAAATAGGGTGTTAAGTCCTATAATGGGTTTTCGTAAATCATTAGTCACGTGATGCAAATAACGAATATCAGATATTGAATAGTCAATTAAATCCAA